AGATTCCTATGAAGAATTCAAACCAGTTAGTTGTTTCCTGGAACCCTTAATAATTTTTGCTTTTCAACCGAACTATTTCTCCCACTTCATAGGAAGAAAACCAGCGGCTTAGTGCACATATAGATAGTTCTGGGTGGATCAATTTCATTTTGCCTCCTTTCTCATTTTTTTTTTTTTTTTTGTCTTTTGAGACAGGGTCTCGCTATGCAGTTTCAGGCTGGCCTTGACCTCACTTTGTAGCCCAGACTGGCCTCAAACTCATAATGATCCTCCTACCTCAGCCTCCCAAGTGCTGGGATTACAGGCATGAGCCACCACACCCGGAGCTTAGAGATTATTTTAATACACCTAAGAAGCATTTTGGAAAATACTTTACTTAGTTTGAGGCTCTAGCATCTGGATTTAATAGGTCTAGGTGAACATGTAAAAAAAATTTCCCAGATGATTCTTGTGTCAGTGATGTCCCATGATTCTACTTCTCTGCCCCAACCCCATGTGGACCCACTTAGTGGTTTGTCTCTAATGAATAGGATGTAGTGGGCATGATGCTGTGTGACATGTAAGATTAGGTTAGAAAAGGCAGCATAACTTTGGTCCTGCTCTTTTTGCTGCTTGTTCTTGGAGCCCAGCCATCATGATGTGAGGAAGCCAAGCCATGTGTTTCAGTTCACTGCCCCAGGAAGGCTCGGACAGCCAGCGTCAGATGCCCACACTGGAGTGAGCAGGCTTCCAAGTGTTCCAGCTCCTGGCTTCCATCCACCCACGTGTGCAGTATGTAGGTTCAGGAACAAGATAAATGGGGGTGGTGTTTTAAGCCACTGAGTATTGAGGTAGTTCGTTATATAGCCACAGATGACAAAATACGTCACACTAGAAAATTTCAAACACTCATCGTTATCTTTTAGCTTATATTACCTTCAACTTAATTTCATTATTAGTTTCTTGCAGTGCTGGGGATTAGATCCAGGGTCTTGCGCTTGCTAGGCAAATACTCTGCCACTGAACTATATCCCCAGCTCATTTTAAAAATATTGAGACAGGGTTTTACTGAGTTTCCTAGGCTGGTCTTGAGTTTGTAATCCTCCTGCGTCAGCCTGCTATTTAGCTAGAATTAAGTTGTGGGGTTTTTTTGGAGGGGGGCACTCCAGGAATCGAACTCAGGGCCTTGCGCTT